ATTGTTTGCGCTGTTCAACCCAAGGAATACGGATAATAAACGAAAGGAAGATGCAGTGCAATTCATCCACCAGAGCGCGTCGATTGCTAAGAACCTGCAAGCTACTGCTCGTGGGAGTTTATTTGGAAGCTTTATAAGTCATGGTCTCTTTTCGGTTATCGTATACGCCGTGAAGCATCCAGTACCAGCAATCAGAAGCACAGGTGTCGATATACTCGTTGCCCTTCTAGACCATGATCCTATAATGATGCGAGGATATATGTTAAAGGCGGTCAACGAGAAGAAAATCCCTCTGACTGAAACGCTAATGGACTGCTTCACGTCGAGACCGATTTGGGTGTGAGAAGTCAACTGGCAGATGCAATAAAGGTTCTATTAGACCCCCAGACTCCTGTACCAGAGATATTAAGCAGAATGGGCGCGGATTTCATACCAAAACTGCGATCGCAAAACGTATTCCCCGATACCTTTGTGCAGAATCATTTTGATGAATCGTGCTGCTTGATCTGAAATCTGGTAGAGATAGTCAACGAGTGGCAGCGACGCGAGAATTGTTTCTAGGAACGACGTGAGAGTGAGCAGGACCGATGCTTCTTCGAGCAAACCCGGGTGATCAGTCAAGAGCTGGAGAGCACGCTCCACAGAGTCGAAGTAGACGAGTATTGAATCCATGACAAGGGAGGCACAATCGCTGTTGGCGGTGTCCACATCCAGCAATAGATCCGCGAAAATGCGAGTGGTTGACTGCAATAGCGGCCGGACTAAAATCCACCCAACTGGATTGCTAAAAGCGTTCTCCACGTAGGCGGGTAGCACGCAGTTCAACAAGAATGCACGGAGATATGGCTGTCGATAGTCCTTCTCGCAGTAGGTGTGATCCATCGCCTTGTAAAACTGATCCACCAAATAAGCCTGATGTCCATCCACCGCTGCCCGTTCCGACACATTTTGAACAAACATAACAAGCTGTTTGGCGATTTTCGCAACAGACAGCCGAACTCCGTAACTCTTCATTTTGGCAACCACATAAGTAGGGTCTGATGCAGGAAGTGGAAACGATCTTGGGTCCATGAAGAACTCATCGATCGGGCATATGTTTTGAGAGTGCTGCTGTAAGAACCCAACTGCACGGTGAACGAAGTCCACGTATGAACCATGAACAGGGGTGTTTGGGCTCCCTAACTCTTCGTAGTTTCGCCGCATTGTCGCCATTAGAGTTTTGATCATTTCACAGTATTCGGTAGTTATGCGCATGTCGGAGTGATTTCGCTCTTCAAGTCGGGCCAAATGTTCCCGCATGTTCGAAAGAAGGCATGAGAGAAGCGATACCCTTCTCTGACAAAAGTCCTCCAGAAATATCTCGTAAACGCCGCTCATTCGATCTACTGAGAATGGCAAATTGTCAAAGAGAGGATCTTCGCGACAGTTATTGAGGATAGCTGTAGTTAACTCATGTTGAAACTTCAGCATCGAGCCCCTTTCCGCTAACGATTCGACCCAGTAGTTGAGTATTCGAGATCTGCAATCGGCCAGGGTGCCCGGATCCGTGCTGACGAGTTTCGCAAGGAAATATGGCATAAACCTCCTTGTTTGGTCCGTGGTCCGTAGAGATGCCCAGGAATCTCCATCGTAGAGACTGAGGTAACTAGTCCACTGTCGTAATCGATGCTTGACAAGGGTGGCTGAAACTCCTATCCAGGTATCGATTGCTTTCACAAGCACAGTGTCGTCGGGTGCCAGATCTTCTCCAAACACCCGGGATATAAATTGGAAGAGTGCTGGCCGAACGCTGCTGTCTATGTAAAGGATGGCAGGGTCTGTAATGTCCATCTGCTGGTCGTAGACTTCTTCGAATCCCACCCAATCACCATATTCTTGACTGTCTTCGCTGGGCTCGATTGATGCCTGAGGCTTCTGAGTCTGTACCATTTCCATAGTCGAATAGGTATATAGCAGCTCCAAAGTCTGACACACAACACCATTCAGGCGTTTGATCGACGGATTGAATAAGCCTAAGAGCTTTTCAACAGGCAACCTTTCCATTAGTATCATAGTTCGCGACATACTTTTAGCCGTGTTTAGTGCCTGCTTCATGCCGGTCAAAGCACTGTTTAGGAGGGATTCTATTTGCCTCTGATTCTTTCCGATTGCACTTTCGACTGACTGGCGAGCAAACGTGGACGCTGAAATAGCGGCATGCTCTAATTCTGTTCTTGCAAGCGAATGTTGCTTTAACAATTCAGTAGTAAAGTCGCTATGCCATATCGCAAAGTCTACGAGGTCAGAATCCTCGCTTGTTGACAGTTTGAACCTGACCAACCTTGACCAAGCATGAATATTGATGATGCAAGCTTCTTTATGCGAGGTTGCTGGAGGTACTAGGTAGCGTAGTGTTTTCAGTTGTGGTCGGCAGCCATCCGGAACTGCCCAGTAGAGAGTGCATAGAAGATCATGGTGGTTGCGTAGGGCGTCTAGGTCGTCTTGACGCAACGGCTGCTCTTTTGGATATAATCGGCCATGGTTTGGTAACAATCGCCAAGCGATATTCCGTGTCTTCTTATAATCTTGAAGCGAAGTGATGCAACTTAAACCAGTCCCAACAATTTTCAAGAAGATATGAAAACAAGTATCCCTGGATTCGACATCAAGTGCCGGATTCTTGTCCAAATCGTCAAGAAAAGAGGGTGACCCATTTTCATCCTCGTTTGTGAGATTGTGAAATAGATTTCGCGCGAAGAAATCGAACAGCATTTCTAGCAGGGGTTTGCAATGTTTCCAGCCCCAGCCTTTGATCAAATGAAAACAGCGGTGGAGCAGCGCTCTTACATATTTGTTGAAAGCTGGCTTTTGCGCTTCGCGATCGGCTTCGTAGAACCCAAAAACCTTTGATATTAACTGCGTGACAATGGGCCAATGTCCTTCGCAGTCTTTGAACCGTAATCCGGGATGAAAAATCCCCAAATCATCGAACTCATCAAGTGGGAGAATTGAGAACAAGCTATGCCAAAGCCTTTCCATATCAACAACATGGTCAAGACTCTCGATTTTAATAGACGACGAGAGCGCCTTTGAAATAAGTTCATCAGTCGTTGGCCTGGCTGACCGATTTTGGCTTGAGAGGATGTACCGAGCCACTAGATACGCTTCGACAAGCGGATATTCCTGTCGAATACCTGCTTCTCTCTTGTGCAAACGTTTGTTGTCTTCTAGAAAGTGCCGAATGCAAGCAATGCCAGGTGGACTCAGAATTGTTTGAAAAATCTGAATGCCAAAATCCCGTACTAGACTATTCGCTTCGGTTCGTTTTGTGGAATCAACTAATTCGTGAGATGCAAGTTGCTGGATCTGATTGGCAAGGACTAAACTGAGCATCTCGAGACGGGTGTAATTCTCGAGATCTTCCAGGTTCTGCGCATCTGGAATATAAGTCCGAGACCAGTCTAAAAACCCAGAAAGGATAGGAAGGCATCTTTCTACAAAAAGTTTCCTATCAACGGGATCCCCGAAACTGAGCCTATTGCTGATGAACTGAATGACCGATCTGTAGAGTTGTAATGTAGAAGAAGAGTCAACCCATACATCACGATAACTTGCACCTGGAGTCCAGGATACTGCCACTATCTTTTCCAATACACCTCCGAGCTGAGAAGATAGCATGTCATTCCATGAGCCCCATCGGTAGACATGGTCACCGTCAATTATTGCTGATTGGCCGCAATAGACATCGAAATCCCGAGATAATATGTTCAGTGATCGATGGAACTCCCCGCTTCCAACGAAAGTCGATTCATGGAAATAAGTGCCGGTTTGAAGGGGAAATGTGTCAAAATCAATGGTGTAAATCTGCACTGTTGTCTGCAACCCTTTCAGAGGGCGGGATCCGGTTATCTCGACGGACTTCACAGAACCTGCCTGAATTATATTCAAGTCATGTTCTAACGGTTGGCGATACTCGACCGCTTCAGCGTCAAGTCGACAAGGCTTTCTTTTTCGCGGCCTCTTGATTGGAAGTCTTGATTTGGAGGGCAAAATTTGGACGTCGCTGGTCGTGGTTATAGGCGGATGAATACGCTCAATGACCTTCGGTGTAGTGCGTGCAGAGTGGGAAAGGAATCTTGTTAAGGGGAGACGATCGCTTCTCTCTGACCGTCTGTAATGTTCATTCAACGCAAAAAGCGTTTTCTGGAAGTGAGATTGGGGCCTTTCAGTATCAAAAGAGAGATTCGCGCTATTATCCAGGCCTACTGGCCTTGGAACATTCCGTCTAAAAGAGGAAACAACAAATCCATGGCGTGCCAGTCGACTCTGTTTGACCTGGGCTTTCTGGGGGGTCCGAGTTGAAGTTAGCCCTGCTTCATTCTGAGGAGCTGTCAAATCCACAATATTTCTTTGCGTTTGCCCTTCGGGCCGTCTGTCTATGGAGGATCCCGTATCGTCACGTGATACGTTGCCCATTGATGTGTCGGAAAGCGTATTAATATCATTGTTATTTTCTAGGGTAGGTGTGCGGCGGCAGTCATCTGAAATTCCAGCATTGGAAGGGCATGAGTTCGCGTTCTCACGTCTAGCGACAGGAGCTCTCCGCGTTATTGCGCCTTTTTTCCATTCGCGTAGCGTGTTATTCACATCCTGCGTATCATCCCTGTTGCCTAATCGAAAGAATTTTCGAGTTGGACTTTGCCGTGCATGGTCAAGTCGCTTTCGGGCACACCGTGCTGCAATTCGTAGAAATTGGGGCTGATCCTTCTGCGATATGCTTCCAAGATCGGGCGCATCTAGTATGCCCAGTCTTGGTATCCGAAGACGCGTCATTCGGGTTCGACTTTGCCTGGTCACTGCGTCCGTAATCCTTGATTGTCGCTTTAAATCCGATTTGGGGCCTTGGGGTACTAAATGGGTAGAGCCACGGTTTCCCTTCCGGATGTTTGTGGAGCCCAGCGGCCTGCGTTTACCAGATGATATAGAGCGACGTGGTACAGAAGGGTACATATAATCAATCCGATTATCTTCGGGAATATCGTCTTCTTCACCTAAGCCCATCAAAAAGCCTTCTGATGGATTTGTCTCCCTGCTAACACTGGGTAATTTGTGGGAAATACTTGCGGCTTCCGCGGTTTGAATATCAGAGCACGAATCGTCAGATATTAAAAAGGCCTCGGGGCGTTGTCTTCTGGTCCTTGTTCGATCCCTATCCGTCTTTGATATTTTTCGAGCCACACCTTTGCCATTATCTCGTTGAAGATGAACAGATTTCAACCTCTCCTTCTCAGCGATATCTTTAGCTCTCCGTTCGTGTTCTTGGAGATCCAGTCTCAGCCATGATGCCGGTAAAACCCCTTTAATCTTCCGCCTCATCCTTCTGAGCTCGGTAGAGCTTGCTTTTGACGAGTCGGAGTTTGAGTCACTGTCAACTCGCTGAGTCGGTTTAGCAACATTGTCGGATTCAGATTCGGATTCAGATTCGGCCAAGAGCTCTGCGAAGAGTGCACGGTGTGCATTTGTGTTTGTTCGAGCTTCTGTCGCCGGAGTAGCCATTGGAATGGGCATCATACCATGAGGGAAACGAAATTCATTCACATCTTGGATTTCCTGAATCGATCCGGCGGATGAGAGACTGCCAGAAGGTGGTGGAGAGAGCGGTATATCAAAAATGCTCGTACTTTGAGCAGGCGTTGTGGTATTATTAACAAGAACAACGACTGATTCCTGAGGGACATCTTGGGTCGTAGATTTGTCATTTTCATGATCATGCGAGATTTTGCGCCGTTTGACTGGTCGAGCTGTAGAGTTTTGCACCGTCTTTGATATCCATTTCTCGTCATTATATTTATTAACAGTCTTTCCTTGCCGGCAAGTCGTTAAGGGTGACGGAGTAGGTCTCGAATTGGGTTGTTCCAATAGTCCAGGTGAAGACGGTGGGAGTTGAAATGACTCATCTGGACTACTTGAAGGAGGCACATTTTCGTCCTGATATGGTTGGCTTTGACTTTCAGCAGCTTCTTTTCGTGGTGCATGATCAACAATATTGACTCGCACCGGTTGTAAACCTCTTGCTTTCACTAGCCTTTGATATTTGGCATTTTCCAACAGATAAGGATGCAATTGGATAGCATTCCGTTGTCTGAGCGACCTGCCATGTTGTACGAAGGGGTTTGAAACATCTTCCGGCAATTCGTCCAGTGGAATAACATCTTCACATGCGTTGGCCTCATTCTGTAGAAAGTTATTCAGGGGAGGATTATCAGGTATTTCTTCAAGTGTAATATCTTCTTCCCTCGTAGTAACCCCATCCCGGTCGAGGTGAGTTCGACTGCATTCTACCTCGGCACTTTTAGTTGACCACGGAGAAACTATCGTTGATGGAGGCGACGAAAGGAACGACGAATTGTCACTGGCAACACCAAGATCCTCATTAAAAGACGCAACCGCTTTGACAATAGGCGTAGTGGGGATTTGGGCAGGCAAATGTTCGTCAAATTGCAATTCATCGGGGGAAGAAGGGGGGTCTTGATGTACCCTGCCCTGCGGACGGCTACTGTGTGAATCCTTTACCGTTTTCGTTGGTCGGGCAAACAAATCAGCATCGCCTTGCAGCGGATCATCATCTAGTTCGTCGAGTTCTTCCAGCGTTGAGTGTTGCAGCACACTTTGCCCACCCGGCGGTCTAGACAGGGCGTCGACTTGCGACTCGATTTGGTTATCGTAGCCCCGGTTCTCGCTGATATCATCGCTTGTAGGCTTTTCACAACTTGCAGTCAAGTAAGTATCCCTCGCCTTTGGTTCAGTTTCCGTCTGGACGAGTTCGTTCGGCTCCTGGGTCTCCCACTCATCCTCTTCATCCGAGTCGGGGACGTAGCCACGCTCCCGCCATTGTTCCATTTGTAACAACCCATGTCTTTACTCCGTCATTTTGAGGGTTTGATGTAGAAGGCCAGGTAAGAATCGACTGTCTTAAGTAGTTGTTGAGGTGTGCCGTTCAAATCGCTATGCTTTCATTTGGTGGAATTGAAAGACGCGTCGAAGACGCGCCTGTGATTGAACGGCAACCGATCTGCTTATGTAAGTTGACTATGAAAGTCAAAATCAATGTCGCATTCAATGCCAGCGACGTGAATTGTACTCCGTAGACGTATTGGAACTTCTAAGGCCAGCGTATCGGACGGAAGCTACGTCAGGTCGCCACTTGTGTCTCTGCAATTAGCAATGGCACCAGGTCGCGGCGGACTTATCCCCGTTGCGTTAGCAGTTGGTTTTGGGATCCTCAATGGTAAGTTGAGCCCGTTGTGCGCATCGCTTTTTGTTGTCCAAGGAAACTAATAATCGTCGTTTGCTGAAAGGATATATTGTCTTCCAACCCGCTTTTACAGAGCGTGAAGCGCAAAAGTTTTCGGATACCCAGTCAGTTTACTCCACTGATTAATATCAGTAAATGTCCGATATCTAACAGTGTCACACCAGTAAAACGGATACCCCAGCAGGTCAAGACAAATACACCAAAGGAATCCCTAAAGCTATGAACTCGAAAAGTCCCCAAGCTGATGCGTCTCTAAACCAATGATGCCTAATTCTCCCTTAATCGCCGCCGAACCATGGACGTATCTAGCTGGGAGAGCGGACCAATCACGGTCATGACCAAAAGGGCGCCCGGGATAGTGCAAAGACGCTACAAATCGAAGGCTTAAAAATGCCTTGATCGGATAAACGACATCGAACAGCGCAGGTAGTACCAGCCTAGGAGCCGTCGGCCAGCGTTGTATGTGGGATAGTAGTTGCGCCGACAAAAAAGAGGAAAATGCAAGATAGCCGCTGGCTATTAGTTATACAGAGGAGTAAAAGTTGTTACATTGACGAAAATCGACTACGTCCGCAACATGCACCCCCGTTATCTCATCAAACTAATTAGACAACATCTTGATGCGATTTTGGACCAGGCGTAACCTATGAATAAGCAAACCTGGTCTGATTCTTTTCGCCTTCCTATAAAACAACCGAATACAGGCCTCGACCATATTAAAGACACCGAGAATATAGACTTTGGAACTTCATATTTCTTCCACAAGTCTATGATGACTGTGACCATTAGAGTTCATGGTAGAACTTTCAAAGATTCGGCCAGCGGGTGTTCCGGACCACTCCTCTGGTATACCCAGTCTGCAACCATCCTTATTCAATATATAGCGCATCATCGTAGGCTCCGGCCTGAAAATCTCCTCGGACTCTTGAACGTGGGGAGATGCCTCTCCAGCGGTCTCCGCGGCACTTATTTTTCCTCGCCGTTTCGGCGCCTGCTTCTTGAGGAGCTTGTTGATAGTATCCATCTAGACAAACCCATTAGTAAGTGGCCAATAAAACCTTTCGAACTCGGCTGAAATTTACCTTTTCTTCCTCATTGCGCTTCTCGCTAAGATTCTTTCTTCGCCTCGCCATTTCGGCGCGGCGCATGGCGTGTTCCTCTGCCGTCAAATGTTTTTTAACTTGGGGTTCTATCAATGCACGTTCATTAGCAACTTCCTGAGATATTGTAGCCTTTCCAACGAAGAGCTTACCCATAGGTAATTGTAAGAAATCTCCAAATTGTAAGCGTTCTCTTTGCCGTTTAGTCATTCGGTTCGTATATCCAGGAGAACTTGCTCGGCTGGCTTCCATAGGGGTAGCAGTTTCATCCTCATCGTCTTCTTCTATGTCTTCTTCCTCCTCTTCAGCTTCCTCTTCTTCTACCTCCTCTTGAAGGACTGTGTCGTCTCCTTTTTCCGCTCCAGCTTCGGATTCCAATTCAGATAACTCTTCGTCGTCATCGTCCTCTTCCTCATCTAAATTGACGTTTCTGGCCTCAACATTTCTGACCTTGGCAGCTGCTGCCGGAGTAACAGTCACGGTTGGTCGCGGCCGAGGGTGCTGAGAAACAGGCGGAGCATCATCCATGTCAATGTCACCGTCTGCATCGATGTCCGGATCAGGTTCACCCTCGGCGTCCACATCTTCATCCGCTTCAGCATCGGCGTCAGGGTCATCACTTGCTGCCATTTCATCAATACCTTCTTCCTCTTCCAAAGCAGACTCTATATCGTCATCCTCTGCTTCTTCATCCTCTTCTTCATCTTCATCCTCCTCCTCTTCCTCGTCTTCCTCTTCTTCTTCTTCCTCCTCCTCGTCATCGTCGCTGTCCACTTCAACTATTTTCTTTTTCGATCGACTACTTCTTGGACCAGTAATGACTACCGGTTCCGTAAATATGTTATGCGGCCGTAAATCTGCAGACGTAACCTCGCGAAGCTTGCTCGATGGCATCTTTACAGTTAAACGGATCGATCTCTTAGTTTCTTCAGGAGGACTTGACGGAGACCGAGAAACTGTGACTGCCGGGGAAGATGGTAGCCCCCCGGCAGTTCTCTGCGGCCTTGCCATAGAACCAGCAGAAGGCCCGTTGCTTGATGATTTAGTCAGTGCAGCTCGCGAACGAAGAGTGCGGCCAGAAGGCATGTTCAGAACTCAAGAAATGCTGTACGATTTAAGGGTATGCTTTTGACGAGTAGAGGAATCTGGAAGCAATTCGTGAAGATGGACAGAGAGAACGATAGGGTATTAGAATGGAGGGGAGATCGAAATCGTTTGGAGTGGAAGGTAGCACTGATAATAAACTCAAGAGTGAACGAAGGGATTTCCAATGAGTGGAGGGCTAATATCTCCACGGGGAACAATGGCAGGGGAGAAAAAATTGCCGGGAGGTGACAGTCATTCTCACTGAATACAGCCTCTCCAACGGTCGCATATGCATCAACGCATCAACTGTGTCTCATTGGTACAAAGGCCAATGATGCCGTTGATGCTACATCTCATCTTCTAGTGACAATAAAAGCCTTGTCTAGACCCTTGCAGGTGCAGGTGCTCTGTCCACGTTCGACATATAAATTGCTAGGATCTCCAGGTTTCAAAAAAAGAAGGCCAACAGCAACAGGACCGACAATCCTGGGACGAATAAAAATCCCAAAAGATCTGAATACTATCATTGGAAATAAGACTTACTGATCGTTGCGCGGAGTCTGTGGCTGCCAATCGTCGCTGCTTTCGCCTGTCTCGTTCGTCCGCAAGATATGGTGGTACGAGGGCTCGTCCGCACCGTCTCCCTGTTGGCGAAGACGCTTGACGGGTCTTTCTGCCATGAGCCCGAGATCCAACACTGCAAATATCAAGCTTAGATAGCGCTTCGCCACGCAGCTGCGGAATGGCGACCAAGAAAATTAATTGGATGCGGTCAAGCCCCTGGTGATTGCTTGCTGCGTTGTTAAGCCAACCAAACGGTGAGAGTTGTCCAAAACTCTACTGCAATCAAGACGGGGATATGAGTTTGAACAGCCTATTTCTCCGATGGTGGAATCGCAACTCTTTGTATCAATGAGAACGCTGTTTTCTGTAGCCAGACTGCATTATTGCCATGGATGATGTTCCTAGCTGGGGATAAATTACACAAGACTGGGCTGAAGTGCAAGGTACTTGTAGTCGTGTGCAGCCCTAACCAAATTGCCTGTACCTGGTACTTTAATTGGGGGGTGTTTTTGAAATACGGTTTCTGCCGTGCGAAATTTTGATACGCTCTGTATTTACGCATGTCATACGCCACAAGCCGAGGTAACTAGTTAACTCGTTCAGGCTTACTCCGTACAGCCATCCGCCGATTTTCAACTGATCGTGCAAATGTTATAGCAACCCGGATTCCAGTTCTCTTCACGGTGCCAGTGCAATTGCCCCTCTTGGCCCATTTTGATTGATGACAAGATTTTGAACGGGACTTATGGCTAATTCAAAGGTCCCTTCTATCCCCAGCTGGCAGCTAGCTGCGAACCGCAACGCCGAAGAAACCCAAGCTTCCTCGAGCGTGGAGAAGCAGTCGAGTCCATCGACAGACAAGACTTTACTTGAGCAAGCTTCACAGTTTCTGCAAGATGAATCGATAAAGGATGCACCGATAGACAAGAAAATTGCGTTTCTTGAGTCCAAGGGTTTGGAAAATGACGATATCCAAAAGCTCCTGGGGACTTCTAGAAATACAGATGCGACATCAAGCAAAGAGGACGAGTCTTCCTCATCCAGTTCGAACCAAGAGGCGTCATCAAGTCCTTCCGAAATCCACTCTAAGGGTGCATCTAATGCCCTGTCATCGACGCAGCAACAACCCTCCGTACCCGCCCGTGACATCCCTCCTATCATAACTTATCCTGAATTCCTCACGAACGCTCCAAAACCACCACCACTCGTAAACCTACGAACACTTCTATATACTCTATACGGTGCTGCAGGCCTCGCATCAACCATGTATGGTGCGAGTGAATTTCTTATCAAACCTATGATCGCCTCCCTCACGGATGCACGGCAAGAACTCGCACAGACAGCGCAACGGAATCTCGAGACTCTGAACGAAAAGTTGGAAAAGAGCGTCTCTACTATACCGCTCGCGGCAATGAAATCTGGAAAACCCGCGTCATCTCAAGAGAAAGAAGAAGGGGACACAGACTCAATCACTTCGGACCCCACCGAGCTTTTCCACCGTGACATCGCGACCCAAACAAGCCCAGAACTCGAGAACCCTCCGAACTTGCCCTCCACATCCGCAGAATCAATTATAATCTCAGAATCCCAAAAGGCACTAGACTCCCATGTCTCCCGTCTCAAATCCATATCCTCCCAGCTTAACGACATCCTCTACGAAGAAAAACAAGCAGACGTCTCCCACGTCGACGCTCGAGATCGTATCGCCGATTTGCAGGGCTACCTTGATAGCTTGGCCTACAGTTCACCCTCGTATCTAAGCTCACCACTATACGGCGCATACGGCGACGATTCAAAGGATGGTAAATCAGGTATCTCGAATGGAGAAGCAGATGCAATCGCCGCCTTTAGAGCAGAAGTGAGAAGCGCCAAGGGTGTGTTACTGAGCGCGAGAAACTTCCCGGCTGGAGTACGCGGAGGAGTTCGTATGGGCACTAGGAGCACGACATCGTAGTAGAACATTTGTGGTAATACTGTTTGTTTGGATGGATAACACGGTATTTACCCTGAATTTGAGACGGATTGATATACCAATTTGACATAAACGTTATTGATATTCTCGCAATCTATTCTACCCCTCGCTTTGGTGAGGTAATGCCAGAACATCAGCAACAGACATACTGGATCATGTATAATACTGTATATGGATCCCAAATATATAATCATACCATTTTGCGATTCCGTATAATTCACCTATGGCGGTTCGACTCTCTCAGGGGGCCGAAACCAGGGCCTAAAACACTAAAAGGGAATAGAAAATTCAAAACCAAAATTCTAGAAAGGGGAACTACAAATACAGCTCGTCTAGCCGTCAAAATTTCTAAGCTGGTACCGCTGGCCGAAATTATCTGTTCAAGGAGTGGCCCTACTCATGCCAATCAATCGCTTAACACCAACCTATACGCAACCACTCTCATTAGCATCAAGCTGCCCGGACGCCAAAAAATAGAAACTAAAGAGGAAGCTCACCATCCAGTTGCCGCATTCATCCGTCTTATTGGTCAAGATGTCCAAATGTATGGCTTGGGCAGTTTCATAATCTTTCACCTGAATTGCATGCGCTAATTCCGCCATACTCCCGATAGTGTCGGATTTTAAAAGGTCCTCGTTGTTCAAATGATCAAATAGAAGATTAAGGCGTCGTTCTGTATCGTTGACCTGGGTTTTAAAAGCGGCCGGGGCACGGGCCTTCACACGTTGCATGTCAGCGGAGAGGAGCTCGTAGATCGGCTGAGCATTTGCGGGGATATGAGAGCGGTCGCCAGGTGCTACAGAAGATGTTAGAATTTTTGGGTACAAATAAGATATAATCCTCGGACTTACGGTATTTTGGTGCGGGTGGTGCCTTTTTATGCGATTGAGCAGTGCTCGGTCGGGATTCTTGCTGAGCGACTGGAACTGGGGGCTGTGATACCGGGTGGCCTGGAGGGGGTGCATAGGGACTTTGCATAGACGTCTGGTGGAATGATTGGGGAGCATAGGGTCCCGGTGGTGGCGCGACTGGTGGCGGCCCATGGGGTTGAAGC